TAAAAATGTATCAGCGGGTTGAGACTGTTAATTGATGAATTGATTAATTAAACCATAACCAATCCAGTCGGAATTTTTAATGCTTAAAATTAACCGAATCAAACCTATTTATCTGGCTCAAACCGACTCGATGAAATTTGGTTTGATCGATTAGTTAATTTTTGAGTTTTTTTTTTCCATCCCTAATTTTAATGAAATATAACCGATTATTTCTCTTTGCAGCAACTTCAGAGCATGCCTAGCGTGTTACACAACAATATCATTACCTGTCTCACTCTCTCTTTTTGTGCACATCTTACATATATTATTTATATATTATAACCATATTATTTATACATAAGTGAAGAGGTGATGAGATAGTAATTCCACCATAATATGCACTTGCTTGAGCCCCATTCTGAGAGAAAAATGCATTTTTAATTAGTGATTTTTTAAGAATGTGTAGTTAAAAATTAAGAAAATATTTTCGATGTACGTGTAATATTATTTTATTAAAAAAATATGAGATTCAAAATGATTTTTTTTTAAAAAAAATGAATTTTTCAAAAAAAAGGACTTAAACAATCCCATATATTATTGTCACATAAGTTAATGGAAAATTAATGCTTATAATTTAATGTGGCAGCGGCAGGACATCATTCTGTCCTAGTACCGTGTCATAATAATTTAATCCATTAATTTCGAAATACATAATGTCAGTACTTATACGTATAATTTTATAAGCACGCCTACCAAATTTAATTGCTTGGGCAATATGGGTAAAGTGTCTTCGCGGATTTTAGACAAGGGATTTTGAGAGAAGTCTCGTTTTTCCTAAATTAAGAAATACGGGTTTTATTGCGTCGAGAACGAGGATTCGATTGAAAGCAGTTAAAAGGAATTGAATAGATATGGATGAACAACCTACGTTACTCATTAAAGCAATTGGCTGAGCCTTGTCACGACGACTATTTGCTATGTCGGTCAAGAAGTAGTTGGATAGACAGTCCTCGACTGACCTGATCGTCCCAATTCGATTGTCCTTACTAAGAACAGATGGTAACTTTTGTTAAGATCTAGATTAATCTTAACGAGCGCGTACCCAATCCCAACTCATTTGTTACCACGTAACAAAATTAGAGGTATGAAGTGGTACGACTTATTATTGTTGGAATTACAAAACTAATATTAAGAACGTAATTACATAAAATCAAGAAAATATTTACACATTTTTGAAAAATACTTGCTATTCACCATCTTAATCCTTTCATAGCTTCAACTCCATAGAAATGTAGCTTCATGTATAGAGTTGTAGCTGCGGCTGAAGTGAATATTCTAACCAAACTTTAAATTATAATGAATTGTAGCTTAATTAATTTAAGCAGACAAGAAAGTCATTCTCATAGGTACAATCCCAATGAGCAAATAATTAAGAAAACAATAAAGTGTTGTCTCAGGTACCATTTCAATGGGCCACCCAATTAGGTTTACATTTAAGTTCATCGTAGATTCTACATAATAATATCATAACAATTGCTCAAACTTTGGGCAAAGGATCAAAATTTAATTTCCTGTCGATTTGGATGTATGACTTTTAAACTTTGGAGATATTTGTCTCGTATTTTTTCTACTTTCCAAAAGCCAAAGTACCCAAACCAAGTCAAAATTCTCCTCTCTTTTTTTGGTACAATATTTTGGTGTAGCTTGTCATGCACTTATTCTGCAAAAACCTGTAAATTAAAAATTTTAATTTGATATATTTGTGGTACGACTTATTGAAATGAATGGAAGAATTTGATGACTTGAATAATTATACGATTACGAGTAACTGTAAACAAAAGAGACTCGATAGTCAGGGGCCGAGCTATGATTGTAGAGTTATGGATGCAAATTTCACGAAATTTCAATTCTGGGGGCAAAATTGAAAATTATAAGGAATTTTTTCAAAAATCTTATGCAAAATCTTGGAAATTCGGTAGGTAAAATCAAATAGTGAGGGGACAATTGGCCCCAGTGTTCCCACTGTAAATACGCCAGTTGCGATAGTTACATTGATAAGGAAATAAGAGAAGAAATGAGGTGATTATCACAAAAAATCTTATGCAAAATCTTGGAAATTCAGTAGGAAAAATTAAATAGTGTGGGGACAGATGACTCCACTGTTCCCATTGTAAATCCGCCCATTACGATAGTTACATCCATAAGGGAATAAGAGAAGACATGACGAGAATATCAAAAGAAATTTTATGCAAAATCTTGGAAATTCAGTAGGAAAAATTAAATAGTGTGGGGACAGATGACTCCACTGTTCCCATTGTAAATCCGCCCATTACGATAGTTACATCCATAAGGGAATAAGAGAAGACATGACGAGAATATCAAAAGAAATTTTATGCAAAATCTTGGAAATTCAGTAGGAAAAATCAAATAGTGTGGGGACAGTTGACTCCACTGCTCCCACCGTAAATATGCCCATTACGATAGTTACATCGATAAGGAAATAAGAGAAGACACGACGAGAATATCAAAAAAAAAATCTTAATAATATAATTATAAATAATAAGCAATTGTTTTAATTATATGCAAATATGGATTTCGAAAGGAAGAAGACTTGAGATTGTGGACAACACAAAATTTTGTGGGACTGGCGATACTTGTCACTCACTTTCAAGTGATGTCCAATAGTGGGTTCGTAAACAAGCATAAGTTAAAGATACGTAAAACTTTAATTCTCTATTTATTTATTTATTTTTTCCAAATAGATATGAGCTTTCAACTTCAATCATTTAATGCAATTTTCCAGATGTTCCTCACCCATCAAGATTTGCATGAAAGAGGGTATTGTAATAAATAAATACTTATTTATGGATCAGTAAAAATGAAATTGAATTGTTAATCTATCATACTTCCATCTTTTAATAAAAATAAATGTTTGTTCCACAATTATCTTCTTTAGTACAAAGAAAATAGGACAATAAAAATATTATGGTATGTTTCGTCCAATAGTCTAAATTGATAATTTCGTGACTTATAAACAGCATATTTGATGGAATTAAATCCCTATTTGGTAAGAATTAAAATTAGATTTTTATCAAAAGTTGATGAAATACGTGGTTGAAAAGTTGTGGAACTAATGAAATATGTGATTAAAATGATTGTGAACTTTGACTTGAATTAAAATTTAGAGCATGTTTGAGCCCTTTTTTTGCTCAAAATGAATTTTGAAATAATATTTTGATTGAGAATGCGGTTAAAAAATAATGAAAAGTTTTGGGTTTACGTGTAATATTATTTTATTAAAAAATATGTGGTTGAAAAATAAGAGAGAAAAACGTATTTTAAAAATAATGGGGACTAAACAAGGACTAGATTAAAATCCCTACCAAACAGAGCTAAATGTGTATTTATAGCAGTGTTCTAAAAGGCGTAATGCGTGGCGATGCGTGAAGGCCAAGTTCAGGGTTAGGCGAGGCATATGCGTAAAAAAAAATGTAAAAATGCATTTTTCTGTTTTAATATTATTTTAATTTTTAATCGATTAAAAATAATACTTACTAAACATTAAATGATTGTTTTAATTTTAAATTAAGGCAAACGGAAGAAATTATTTAATAATTTTTAATTTCAAAAGAATTGTAAAAAAGAAAAAGCATGCATTAGCGGCCAACAACTGTCATTGACTGTCAAATAAGATACTAATCCATTAGGCTTGGCGTTTTGGCATCGCTTCACGCCTAGGTGCGCTTAGGCGGCAGCCTAAACGCGCTTTTTAGAATACTAATTTATACTACTTTTTATCTTTTTATATAAATTAGTTGTACTGAATTTCATTCAACTAAGAGTAGGGATGACAATGGAGCAGGTCGGAGTAGGGACAACCTCTACCTCCTCGTCGGGTAATTTTCTGTCTCGTACCATCGCCACGTTACCCATTTAAGGAGGGGCGGGGCTCTTACCTCGTTTACTACCCGTTTAATTTATTTTTTATTTTTTAAGTTTCTGATAATTTAATTTATTGCCACCATTCATTAAAGTGTGACAATAATATATTTTTTAATTTATTTTTGAACGTTAAATTATTTAAACATATTTGATAAACTACCGTTTTTATTGTTTGTCACATTTTTTAGATAATTTTAGTTGTTATTTTTTATTAGAATTAATGAAAGTTTGAGAAATTTTCCATTATTGAATTCTTAAAAACAAAAAAAATTTAAATGGGGCGAGGTACCCGTTACTTGTACCCGCCTTAGGACGATATTACCCGCCCCGTCCCTGACTTGAATATCCTATTAAGCGGACAATCCCCATCTCGTTCAGGGCAGGGCCTCGTAGATATCGGGTTTGTCGAATTTTTTTTGCCATACCCAACTAAGATTGTTGGGTACTTAGAATCCGCTTGATAAGACTTCTGTTTTTTATAGAAGAATTTTTGAGAGAGCTATCTTCATTAATGTTTGAAAATTAATTTTTAAAAGAATTTTCTAACTTTCTCTAACTATAAGAAATGCTTTTATAAATTAATTAAACGAATTCAAAAGTAGCTTTTAAGTCTCAAATATCTTTTTTTACTTTTTAAAAGTCATATCAAACGACCCTTATATATGAATTTGTAATTTACCGTATTTACTATAATTTACTAATTTTATCACGTTAACCTATAGAGATATCCATTAACAGTTAATAGATGTAAATAAAAATTTAATAGTAAAAATAAGTGGAAAATAATAAAATCAAACAAATACATACACAGTAAAATGTTCCGCCTCTTTTAAGGCTGTCTTTTCCTCTCTTCTCCGAAACACAGACTAACACGCACTACATATGTATTAAACACCAAAACCAAACCCTCTCTCGTGGCATTAAACAGCTGCCCCCAATTCCTTTACTTCACCGGCGCTCTCTTCATAAATTCCTCACCCAACTCCAAGTCCCCCCCTCTCTCTCTCTCTAAGAATGGCCTAATCCAAACCCCTTCTTTCTCTCACTAAATCCATCATTCCTTCGTATACTATTCAATTATGTCTACTTTCCCACCGCCACCGCCACCGCAGCCGTCATTCACCTTTGTAAGCGGCGGTTCCGCCACTCCAACCAACCAAATACCACCGTACATGACCACATCGTCTCCGTCCCCTTCCTCCTCATCATCGGTCGTTATAGTAATCATTATAGTCGCCTCTGCCATCATTGTCTCGGCCTCGATTTACCTTCTTCTTCGTTTAATTTCAAAGCGCTTCCACCGCTCATTCCACACCTTCGCCGCTGCAGACGATGTTGTTCTACGCCATCATTCAAATCCGAACTTGAGTGAATGCCATGTGGTGTCGAGCAATCTGGTCGATTCTCTTCCTCTCTTCACGTTCGGCTCCATCACTGGAAACCTTACAGGCGGTGATTGTGCGGTGTGTTTGTCGAAGTTTGAGCCGCATGATCAGCTCCGTTTGTTGCCGTTATGCTGTCACGCGTTCCACGCCGGGTGCATTGATACGTGGCTCTTGTCTAATCAAACTTGTCCTCTTTGCCGATCGTCCGTGCTACCTTCCGACTCGGAAGTACTGGATAAAATCCTGTTGGTTGAGACTGGCGTAGGTAATAATACTGACAATAACTTTGAAAATCGTAATGGAAGTGAAAATGGCGGGAGTTTTCGGATTGAAATGGGGAGCATCAGTCGCCGCCGTGGCACGGAGGACACCGGCGGAGGAGGGCAGCGGTCTTATTCAATCGGTTCTTTCGAGTACATTGTAGACAACGGCTACGAGGTTTCCGTCGGATCCACCACTCACCGGAGAGGACCGTCTGATTGCACTTCCGTTGACAAGGAGTCCTCAATAGGAGTTCCGGTGGCTGAGTCTCTTCCGGCGGAGGTTTCGGCTGGAGAGGTTTCCCGCGGGAGGAACTGGCTTAGAGACTACGTCGACAGGCTGGCTTCGGTTTCTGTTTCGTCAAGATCATTGTCTTTCAGAAGCTCCGGCCGCTTCTTCACCGGCAGTAGCCGCCGGAGCGACACCGTCGTCCCCCTCGAGGATCTGGAGGCGAACCGCGTCGGAGAAGAAATCAGCGAGTTCTTTCGGTGGCTTTCCTGAGATTAATATTGTACAAACTCCAGCGGTAATTCTGTCTTCACCTACATAAATTTTAGCTTAGAACTCCATATTTTGCTATATCCACACTCTAGGAAACAGTTTTCTTTGGTGGACTTTTAGCAAAATATGAGTGTGAATACTAAATACACTCCATTTTTTGGTCCTATAAAAAAATTAGTAAAATCTTTTTAGTCAAAACTGCTTTACTTTCCCTTTTTCCAAATTCCAGTCAGCAGAGTCGATGGAGTGATTTAACATAGGATTAGTGTTATCATATTTGTTAATTTCAATAATAAATTTGAATGTCATAAGTTCGAGATTTGATTACGTGAATGTGAATTAGGTCGAAAATAGCCAAATTATGATTACTATTTTGAACCTTATCTAATATAGACAATATTGATTATTAAAGTTTTTTCGTAAGTTGTACTTTCATCTCAATCTATACGAGTATTTTTTTTTTCCTATTATGCTTTCGAGGGAAAGAAAAAAGGAACATGATATTTGGGTGAATAGAGGAACAAGAAACATCATGGGGCTTAGGAAGCACGAAGGTTGATATTGTCAAACATCTTAATAGTTTATAATTTCGACATTCTATTTTGTACCAACCAGCTTATAGTTCCATGTGATATTAACCCTTGTTTCATATTTTTTAGGTCATCTAAATGTGGTCCATATCCATAAAACCTCTAAAATAAGTTTGTTACTCCCTACAAACATGGATCTCTTGTCCCTTCTGACCAAGTAGTGGTTTTTTCGTGCACGAATTTCTTATTATTTTTTTATTCTAAGGTTAAAACCTAGTTTAAAGAAAAAAATTTGAAGAAATCTTCTGTGACAAAGATTTGAGCCATTTGATAATTATTATTCAAGGTTCCAATATCTAGACATATTTTTCAGAATTGACCCAGGTATTGACTGTGTGTTGAAAGCTCGAACAGTTAGTAAATAAAATTTGATGTCGACCGATCGGTTTATCGGTGAACCCATCGTTCAATTTTGTGATTGGACTGGTTTTTGGCATGAATCAGCCGGTTCTTTAATCAACGTAACTGTATTTTTCGACTTCTGATTTATAATTGGACTAATTTTTAGAATAAATTTTCAATTTTTTAGAATATTGGAGAAGTGGTAAGTGTAAAATTGGTGATAATACAAGTGTAGGCATTGACTATAGGTGAATTAATTAAGTGGATGTTGGCATTTACTTCCATCTGAGTGGTGATAATGACAGTTAAAGGACAGGTGTGTTTTTGTAGTTCATATGTTTACAAGTGGATTAAGATCTTAAACCAATATTAACACACAAAACCCACTGCCTGTCTGTCACATGAGCTGTTTATTTTTGTATATTGTGTCTGGAAAGGGACAACGGGAGTTATCAAAAACTACAGTATGAGCAGGGACAACTACGTTCATGTTTGAGTATTAAACAATAAAAGTTAAAATTTTGAATTTAAATGGTTATTTAATTCAATTCAATCTAGTAGATATTTTATATTCAGTATAACGTATAAAACATATATTGAGAAAGCAAATGACACCTACCACAAATGGGGATTATGGTTGGCATTACTTATTAGATTAAGACGAGATTTGAATTTTGTATTTGATTTTGATAATACACTTCCGGGTCACAAAAGGACGTGTTGGTTGGATTTAGTTGTATCTATGCATAAAGTCAACCACAAGCATTCGTTTTCATCTAGAAAATAATATCTGACTTCCCCCATTAGGATAGAACTCTTGAATCAAAATTGTGTACTTTGTGCTGGTATGGTTGTACTGTTTGTGGGGCTCATGGGTCCCACCAAATTTCATTTGACCGGACATAAATATGTGAATTATCTTAATAAACAAAAAAAAGTAATGTTATTTAGCTTTATTAATCAGTTTAGATGACACTAGCTGATTTTAAATGATGAGTACAATTAAACGAATCACTAAATTCTATATTTCATTGAATATATCACATAAGATTACATAAGCTAGTGTTGTAGTACTAGTAATGTTTCATAACATTATTATCTTAATCAAATATATATTGTAGGGATGTGAACCAAGAATTGTTGAATTCTATCATTGACGTTAAAATTAAAGGAAAATTTTAAATCCTAATCTAATTTGAACCATGTCTGACGTATTTTGATCAGACACGAGCCACGTATCAATGCAACTTGTACCTTGCTATACAGTCAGGGCGACATGGGTACTGACAATGTGCCAGTGGGCCAGCCCCCGCGATAGGTAGGGGTAGATAAACCCGTACAACTTAGTGTGGAACACTCAATAGGATAGTGATACCAAATCGTTGAACTTGAATTTTGATACACGCAACAAACATAGTCGGCATAAAAGTGTTCGGAGAGAGTAAAGAAGAAAATTTATTGAGGCGAATATAAATAAAATACTACTATATAATATATAAATTATAATAATTTTATTAATTATTATTTGGATTTATTTTTTAACTATTTTAATATATTTACTTTTGTAAACTAATTACTATTTGTGATTGACAATTTATCTATACAATCCTATTTTATACTACCTCTAAAGTCAGACGACGTTTATTATAAGGAATAAAGCTATTGTGCTAGAAAAAAAATGCCCACCTGGGTAACCTACTCTTACATAAGTGTGGGACCCGCGTGAAATAAAAAATGAAAAAAAGCTCCCCTTCCCTCCGATGTGTGTGTCCTGTCTAGGAGGGTGTCACACCCTCCCTGTCATTGGAGCTTCATCCTTCTTATAAGTATATGAGATTTTTGTTTTCAATAAAATATAAGGGGGGAGCAGAGGTCTCCCTTTTTGTTCAAAATAAAAGAAAATTTTTATATGAATGGTCTATATTTCAAAATATTAATATGTTGCCCTAGAAGAGAACACAACTTAATATGAATAGTATGAAGAAAATTGTTTTGATATTTCTAAAAAAAAAA